TATAAACACTAATATCTAGTTACCTAAAATCCTTCAACAGATACACAGTCTTTGTCCCAGTTACGGGAAGACAGGAGAGACCTATTTTTCCACGAACGACGTCTCCCACTAGCAACCTTCTCTCAAGAGCGGCTAGCATCCTTTTCTAACTACCGATATGAAGATTGGTCAATTAGCAGCAACGTCAATTTCCCTTACTTTCCGAACGTGTGATATCCCCGACGAATCCGATGATCTCGTGTCCTTAGACACACCCCGTCATAGTTTTCCTCTGGGGTGTCACCGGGATGGAAAGTCATTCTCTCTTGCGACCTCACCGACAAAAAGAGATTAACGCCTTACGGTCAGTGAATATCAACACAGAATCCGACTTGGATTTTTGCGAGTGCATACGACTACCGTCCTGTTGTCCGCGGACTCGTTATCGAACCTAAGACCATTGCCACTAGCGTCGCGAGTGTGTGGTCATTGTGAGTTTGTGTCAACTCTGTAACAATTTCGTGTGTGTCAATAAAATAACTTCAGTGTAAAAGAAAACATGGATAGCTTCAGTGAGGAATCCTTACCTGTCCCAAGCCCCCGCCACGAGGACGACTCGGGCCCAGACTCGGTACTTGACTCGACATATATAACATAACAACAACAACAACAACGACAACGACAATAATAACAATAATAGAAATAATAATAATAATAGAAAATTTATTTGTAAAAAAAGACAAACTTTTGGGACATAACCTCACAATTCAGTATTCAGATTGGCTTTCACAATCTCATGTTCAATTTTGGGAGAGAACACAAGATCTTATTTTCTTGCAACCGCAAGATCGCATTGTTTCCATTCTTTAATAAGTAACAAAGAATGTAGCTAAATATTTATTTCGAACTATATTCATATGTACACACGTATGCATATTATAGACACATAGTACGTGAAAGACGGTGAACTAGAGGACTATGTCGATGCGATTGTCACGTAATTTTTAGGGTTGGTTGGTGGAAATAAAATATAGTTGAGTCGTAACACAACAATTAACTTTGTTTTAATCAACCTTTATTGTGAATTCACCAATCACAATGTAACACGCACTGAATTAACATAAATCACAATTCACTCCAACCACGTTATGTAAGACTTAGTTACAACAATACATTAAGTACGCGACTTATAAGGGTAGAGACCGATATAGATATGTTGACTATTCTAAGGATACAGAATAAGTGAAGTTTTACTGACGATACTGTGTCTGAGGAAAGCTAGGTGTGGGTGTGTCTAAGGACACGGGACTATCGGATTTGTTGATGACAATTTTGGTTAAGGAAGTGAGGGCAGTAGACACCGTCTCCGATTGGATAATAGGACGGTTGGTGGACCAGGAAGAGTTTTAGCCGCCCTCGCGAGAGAGTTGCCAACGGAACATACCAAATGTGGAGAAAACCAACTTTCTAAGCTAACACGTGGTAGACAATAAACGTAAAGGGAAATTTAAGACAGGAAATACTCGCTTGGTCCAAAGGATCTTAACTATGAAAATGCCAAGGCCTCTGGTGGGCACTTAAGACTATTGAGGGTGCGCGCCAAGGATATGCAGACATCTGGGTGCCATCCTGTCCGTGTGGCCTGGTCTCTGATGTGAATTGACGTTATAGGGTAGTCGATCTGAACTACAAACATAGTTCATAATCGACACATTGTCCCCGGTGACTATAAAGCTCTTCGTTTATAATAATATTTTTCTAATAAACTTTTCAATTGATAATCTTTCTACAATCTTTTTTTGACAGAAGAATTATCGACACGAAATCCATTCTGGATCACTGCGAACAGATATGAAACATGTAGATTAACGTGTAATATAATAAATTACGCTTAACAGAATATTTTATTAAGTTTCGTAAAAATAAGAGTTAGAAACAAGTTTAATAATTCTTTTCGACTTTAGAAATTAATATTCGTTTAATTAATATTAATGAGAACTTGCACTAAATAGAGCATTCGATTAAAAATTTAAAAAGAAGAATTCAATTAAAAAAGAATTGAAAATATTTAATTTACTTCGTTCGCGGAGAGACGCGGTCGCGAGGAAAACGCGTCAGCGAGAGGCGTAAATTCTCGCTACGATTCGGTTAATCCACGCCGCGAAATAGTCGTTCCCCTGTTTCGGTTAAGATAACAGAGGTGGTTAAATGAATATGACACAGCATAGTAAGTTATATATCACCGTTTATTCTAACAACTTATAACGAAGACAGTTACGCTGGTGCGTATGTACGAGATGAGTGAGTGACTGATCTACGGGTGTGTATACCCGGTCAAAGAATGTTGTCTGTTCGAAGGATGTAAAATCAGTACCGTCTTGGGAGACGATGCTGTGTCGGAGGAAAGCTAAGGATGGGTGTGTCCAGCGCACGGGACCATCGGATTTGTTGGTGACGATTTTAGTTAAGAGAGTGAGGGAAATAGACTTCGTTGTTAATTGGTTAAACGAAGGGTCTTAAATGCCCTCGAGAGAAAGTGGTTAGTGGGAGGAAAGTTGCATCATACGTGAGAAAAACTAACTTTCCCTTGTCAAGCCGTAGTAGACAATGGTCTTTAGAAATGAGTCCGAAAACAGATGTTTTGTTCGGTTTGAAGGACCTCGACTAGGAAATTCCTGAGATTTATGGAAGGTACTTGAGACTATTGAGGGTACGCAGTGAGTATCCGAAGACATCTGGTTGCCGTCTTGCCCGCGGTGTGTGTCCTGGGCTAGGTAGAATGTTACGCGACGTAACACACTTATATCAGCCTCTAATTTTCCCTCGTATTTAAGCAATATGCAACACTAATAGCAAAAGATCCCAAATCTACTAATATTTAATATTAAACATGTCGGAGAGGGGTCAGTACTAGGGTTGTGGGCGTTTGATAAATCTTTATTGGAACTGGCCATCGTTGTGGTATAACAAAGGTACGGTTTGCTGAGACAAGTATGGATAGTACAGGCTTGATAATCAACCGTGGCGGTTGGACACTCGCGATACTAGTGATATTGGTCTTAGGTTCAATAACGAATCCGCGGCGAACGGGATGATAGATCTAATCGACGGGATGATAGATCTACTTGCTCACTACACTAACTCAAACGTGTAACACTCACGGACCGTAAGGCGTTACTCCTCGTCGATGAGATCGCAAAAAAGAACGAATCTCTGTCCCGATGATGCCATGATGAGAGGAAAACTATGATAGGGTGTGTCTAAGGACGCGAGATCATCGGATTCGTCGAGGACAGCCTTCGTTCAGAAAATAAGGGAAATTGGCGTTGCTGCTAATTGGTCAATCTCCATATCGGTGGTTAGAAAAAGATGCTAGCCGCCCTCGAGGGAAAGTTGCTAGTGGGAGACGCCGTTCGTTGAAAAATAGGTCTCCTCTATCATCTCGTAGTTGGGACAAAGACTGTTTGTTTGAAAGACTTTAGTTAGCTGAATCTTAAGATTTATAACGGGTCCTCAGGCTAGCTGAACATGTACTGCGGAGACGCATCGACATCTGGCAATCATCTTACTCGAAGAATAGGGTCTGCATGTGGCGAGTTACGGGACAGAAACCGTTGGAACGTTTACTGTCGAGTGTTACAACTATTTCCTTTTTAAGGAGAGCTATAGAATTACTCCATGCCTTTGTTAGACAAAGCGTTCATCTCGTGACCGCGGCTACGTTCGGCGATTGGCAGTCGCCCCGAGCCCAAGTTTATTATCACAAATCGCAAATAAGTACAATTGGGTAGAATGACGGCAAATCTTTTAATTACAACTGAAGAATTAAAAAGGCACTTGACTTTTAAATAAGCATTAAATAAGAATTTTAAATATCGCAAACAGTGGTGTAGGTGTTATTCAAGAAAAAGGAACATTTTAGTTTTTAATTAGCACGAGTAAATGAACGAATATCGATAATATAATATAATGCTTAATATGAATTTTATCTGTCTGATTATTTAATGCCTTAACTTATTTCACAGTAACGTTGTCGACTGCTGTTAGGCTTTTTCCCACTTTTTATTCAAACTAATTGATAGTCGAAAACTAGTATTAAAGTAGTGTGAATTTAGTCTTAGTT